CTGTGCCGCAGGTCGTAGACATGTTCCATATTTGTGATACCCACGATCACGGACATTGTGCTTGACACACCTAGAAACATTATCAGAATGAATCTGTTATTTGAGCGAATTCGGGTCAGAATAGTGAAAAGTGAACACTGTTTTACACCACAGTCAGATACCAAGCTTGGAAACTTGGAAACTTGGAAACTTGGAAATGTTAGCAGCCTTGATATAGACTATTTCGAAATAATAATAGAAGGGTTCATCTGGCTTTTGAAGCAAAAGCCACTTACCAGTCTCGGAACAGATGTTGGTATCGTTTTACAATTGAGCCGATGTTATTTAACGCGATAGTCACCAATATTCCAGCTGTGCACCAAGGACTGTGGAAAATCGAGTCTGGACCAAGCAAACCAGTGATTGAACGCAAGAGCAGCGACCCATGACCATAGGCACGACGACACAATCAGCCGTGTCTGATCAGCCTATTGTTTGTAGTCGCAAAAGCATTGGATACTGGGGACTATTCTTCCCTGACATCCTCAAACATTATCAGAATATCGTTTTAAATTGACTTGATGTTATATATTTAACACGATACTCAGCAATATTCCAGCTTAATCGCCAAGGACTAGAGAATCGAGTCTGGTCGAGGCAAACCAGTGACTAAACGCAAGGGCACGATGACACAATCAGACGTGTCTGATCAGCCTATTGTCTGCAGTCGGCGAAAGCATTGGGAACTATTCTTCCATGGCATCCTCAAGGGATCTAGGATGGTGAACAATGGAATTCGCAGTCAGCACTCCATCTTTGTAATTCCAAACTCCCTGTAGCCCGGACAAGTGACCTCCACGTCCGGATGAATGAGGTTCCGCTGTACTTAATTCACTGCCATTGTTGGAGTCTCGTCCACAACCTCACGGACAACCCTTACCACAAAATCGCAACGACGTAACTCAACAGTTGTCCTGATGGTGTCCATGTGTTGGTCTGACCTTGTCCTGATGGTGCCCATGTGTTGGTCTGACCTTGTCCAAATGGCAGGGTACCCCAAGTTGAAGCAACAAAGACAACGATGCATACCACGTGTGGAAGTAGTCGGGATCAGTGTAGTTGCTGAAAGGCTAAATATTGGTTTATGTATGCATGTTTACCTGTTATGATACACTTGGCCGACATACTTGTGGGTAGAGTTCTGACTGTTAAATGCTAGATTTGTTTTTAGTGGTCTGCTGTGGCTTTTGACTCCGTCTCCTATTGTCTTAGCCCGTTCAGTTGCATTACAAAACACTTAGAGGATATTTGTAAATGTGAAAGAATTCCTGAACAAAGTTGATAAACACATGCCTCAAGTCACTGGTTGGGAGTGGGGTCTATTTGCCGACTGTTTACGATATATGAACATTTAGTATACACAAAGCAACATTTCTTAGTGTGGTGTCCAACGCAGCTGTTTCCAAGGTCCTATTTCATCATGACTCTTCTACCTAATTCCTAGTTAACAGTTGTGTTATTTCTTACTGTAATATGATCGAAAAAGTAAGTACCTATTTTGCTGAAGGGCGAAAAGTTCCATGGAGCAGTTTACTGCCAATGCTTATTCTATCTTCAAAATCGGCAACAATTAAGAAATCAGAGACGTTATTTAAATTGTGCGTGTTAGCAAGCATATTACGCCCCATTGAGTCTCGGCGGCTGAAATAATAGAACGCTTGTGTTAGAGGCAAGGGTCCAATGACTTCCTTAACACCAACTGCAATAATTGCCAATAAAAATAAACATCTTTTAACAAAACTCAACAGCATGTTTATTATAAGATGTTTTTAATTTATCATATTTGTGATGTTTTCCGTGAATAGTTCTAATTAAGTCCAGACCTCGACAAACATATAGTTTCCGAAATGAACACACTTTACACAAAAACAGTTGTTCAAATTATCTATAGATAAAATGTTATCACAAAGAGCCAAAGGACCCTCTTCAATTCCTGAAACTACAGTAAGCTAGACTTGCCCACTGCTATAGACTTACATTTGTTTCAGGGCTTTGTATGACAGACGAGTGCAGACCCTCTCTCCCTTTATGTGCGCCAGTTGGTACATGTGACATTTGTGTTCTGCTTGTCTGACTGTTTGCTTGGCAGTCAACCTACCCACCCGACTCTGTTATTACATGTATACAATGTTCCACAGGCCTGCTAGTCAACCCATGCCTCGTGATACGTCATGATATAGATGAAATACAGATTATGGGCGTGTTAAAGTGTTAACCAGGTGAACAATTGACTTGCCTTTGCATGTGTGTGAAGCATACACTCGACCCTGCTTTCAGCAGAGATTTCTCAGGAATACGGAACAGGTTTTGTCGCTTTAATTTCTTATTAAACCCAACTCACTCACCCATGATACGACCAGTGAATATCCGAGGTAGAATAGGCATAAAAGGCGATTATGCTTGTGGTATGAGGGTGGTCAGGCTCTCTGACTTGGTTGATGCTTGCCATTGTATCCCAATTGCATATAGCTATGCTCATGATATCAATCACTGGATTGTCTGGAAGACATAAAGTTTGAATATTGCTAAATACGGCGTTAAACAACAAACTCATGATATGTCGTGACATATAGCCAACACTCACGGCAGCATCAAACACAAATGACTCATCTCTGCTTCCGTCTCATGCGTCCAACTGCTAGCGGTTGAAAACAGACATGTTAATAAAAAAGGTTTCTCTGGAGCATTCCGTTACTTACATCAGAAACTATTCAATACACTAATTAGTGAATCCAAAACAACACTAACGTACTCAGGAAAATATATCGAAATAACACATAAACATACCATATCATACAAAACACTGATAACGAATCCCATTTCAAGTTAGGATAGATAGTTGAGCGGTTAGCGAAGCTTGGACACATATAGCATGGAGACATCAATCTGTCACCATAATATCAAGGCGACTAACAACCCATGATTGCTGTGGAAGGTGACTATGCTTGGCGTAAGAGGCGACTAACAGCATCGGGTGGTCAGGCCCCCTGACTTGGTTGATGAATGCCGTCGATCTCAATTGCGTGGATCGTTGCTCATGATGTCAATCACTGGATTGTCTGGTCCAGACTCGATTATTTACAGACCGCCGTCATATGGCTGGAATATTGCTGAGTGCGGCGTTAAACAAAAACAAAAACAAATAACCAATGTTAGGATGCTGCGTGCGGCTTCAAGGAACAAACAGACAAACAAACGCTTTTATCCATAAAAGTGTTTTTCTTTTCCGAAAACACCGTGTTTCACTGTGTTATTCTTAGTGCTAACCAAAATATTTGCACAAATAATTTTAGATTGGAATCCTTCAACGAAGTTAATGTTTCACGCCTAAAAGTCACATCATGCAACAATCTCTCACTTACACTGTCGTACATATATCTAAAATTAGGTAAAGAAAGACATTGTTCTATTTTTGATTGTTTCTTCACAGGAGGAGCTGCTACATCGATATCACTTCCTCATCACAAAGAAAATTCTGCCTCGGCTACAGTTTATGTTCAGAAACATATCACTTCCGGCTCTCACGTGAGTAATGCAATAGCTCCGAACAGTGACGTCGTCGTCCATCATGCTCGGCAGATCTGTACCGTGGTGAATCAGGTAGCACGCTCTGATATGGAGCCTAGTACTTCTCTTGTTGGTGGGGAAACGATATAATTTGTTTCTTAGTAATACTTAACTATATGGTTGGCTCAGTGCTACAACATATACATGTAGTTTTATTGTTGGGATAAATTTAAGGAAACCTTGAAAGTTAATTGCTGTAGAAATGTTCATTGGAAAAGGGAAAGAGCTGTACACTGAGAAGTGACCATCGTTATCTAGTGGGACTGTATGTGTATTTAGACCAATGCACATGTTGATTTCTCACATGCGCGTATTAGAGGTCAGGCACTTTGTCAACGTATGACCAAATATTATACGATAGGATAATTGCGGGTTATATAACGGTTGGTTTCACAACAGGACCTGGCTTACATAAAACCTGTTCTGTTTCAGTATCGTGCCTGTTGACACATACGGCCCATGGGGATCGTACGGGGAGAATGTCTTCTACCCCTACTCCAGCCTGCATGGCATCCCCGACTACAGGGCGGAGACACTCAACAGCAAGCTGAACTTGGTACCATTCCATTTCCCCATATACAGCGCATACGCAGAGGTGAGTTCCGGTCTGTAATACATTGTGTAAGGTGTAGAAATCAGGCTCTCAACAAGGAGTTGACAGACTGCCAGAAACGTATTATGTTTTTCGAAATTCATCGTTTTTTTTATTGAAATATATAGACGTCTTAATCTGATATAAGTTACACTTTAGCAATTTTACGTTTGTATCCCGGATCAGAATAAGCAGGAATGAGGATCGGGTGGTTACCTAGGTGATTGTTGGTAATCGTACCCGACCAGGTGTATCGTAGGTTATGTCATAGACCGCTGGTTCGTCTGTCCCGGATGGGTTATTTACAGGCGGCCATCATACAGCTGGAATATTGCTGAGTGCGATAAATAGTCAGTCGATCTATCGACCCGTGAAATTCCGGGGTAGAATAGGTCTTCAGCAACCCATGCTTGCCGTAAAAGGCGACTATGCTTGTCGTAAGAGGCGACTAAGGGGATCTGGTGGTCAGGCTCGCTGACTTGGTTGATGCGTGTCATTGTATTACAATAGCGTGATCAATGCTCATGATATCAATCACTGGATTGTCTGGTCCAGACTCGATTATTTACAGACCGCCGTCATATAGCTGGAATATTGCTGAGTGCGGCGTTAAACAACAAACAAACAAACAAACAGTCGATATATCAATCTTTCTCGTCTGGTCCAACGACACGCATGGGCATGTGGTGCTTTTCTGCTGCAAGTAATGTGTCCCGTTGTTTTTTACAGACATGACTGTGATCTGTGACCATGTTCTTTTTTACAGGGCTTTGCGCTCTATGCTGAATACCTCGGAGAGGAGATGGGCTTGTACGACTCGCCCTATGATCCTTTTGAGGTTTTGTTAGTTCAAACTAATTATCTCTTCAAAGTCATGCTGAATACATTTAATAAAACCTAGAGCCATGACACAGGGTCAGATGAAAATGACACTATTTAAGAATCTTTTGATGATTATCTGTTTGGAAACCGACGCGAATTGCGACATCTTTATGGCGACCTGAGCTGTACAGAGCAACTATTAGCCAACTGTTCAGTTAATGTAGCTGGAATATTGCCCCCCACCCCCCAGAGGCAATACCCCCTTCGAAACTTTCTAATAGAAAATACATCCTGGATTATTTTTCTCATTGTTTGCCTATTGTGCCTATTGTGGATTTCGGGGCAGAATGTATCTTTTATACCCGCTCTCATGAGGATCTTGCTGTAACACTTTGTGAGCAGGCTGAATGCACGTCGTCGTACCACAAGGGCGTGGGACGCTGTTCATAATATCAATATGGTTTGTCTGGTCATGATTCGATTATTTAAAGAGCGGCGTGATACGGCTGGAATATTGGGTACAGCGGCATTAAACACCATCCACAAACGTCGTAGTCCATGTACGGACGTAGTGTTACATTCAGGCGTTATTATGATCTCCTATGTGGGAGTTCCTAATTTGTTTCTATTTAACTTTTCTTCTTACTTTCAGCTTTGGCAGATATTGTTCCAAGATATTCCATGCCTGTCGTCTTGTAGTGGATACTGGCATTCACGCGGTTGGGTGAGTTGACAGCTGTGTAGTTTCACTCATACAGTGGAACCCATCAAGCCAGAAACTCTTCAGGACGATTTCCTTGTGGAACTTTTGTATAGTCAAGGGGATAAATCGTTTCCTTTAATTTGTTTAAAATAACCAATTGCCGGAAAGAGACTTCCTTTTGGCCAAAGTTGTGGCTTAGTCAGTACTTAACTCTGTTTATCCAGAAATTCCGGTCGATTTCCTCGAGAACAGTCCTGTCAGTCCGGATTATCTACGTTCGACTGTATTTGATTTCGCCCATTTCTGGTGTCCCCTTCGTGATATTACTGTTATTTTTTGAAGAACGGAACAATGCAATACTCACTCGTAAATATCCACAGCCATGCTGCGTGTACAAAATTGCACAAAGTATAAGGGGCGGTCGGGTAGCCTAGTGGTTAAAGCGTTCGCTCGTCACACCGAAAACCCGGGTTCGATTCCCGACATGGGTACTATGTGTGAATGTATTTCTGGTGCCCCCCACCGTGATATTGCTGGAATATTGCTAAAAGCAGCGTAAAATCAAATTCACTCACTCACTTAAAATATAAATGACAATATGTATATTTTACGGACGTTTCACTCCCTGGTGAACTGTATGGACGTTTGTCCGACAGTAGAGCAAGACTTTATCGTTGGCATCCCTCGTCACGGTGAGAGATGACATACCGGGGCTTCACGTTTGTAAGCCCTGGGCTTAATTAAGGATTTTTTCCGGTTTTGATTGAGTTCAAATTTAAGCCAAGTGATTAAAAACGAAAAAGGACAAAAGCATGATAGGAAGAATGAATATCCCAAGGTTAATGAAACAATACCAACAAATGGAATGAGAAACACTTTAACAAGACATGAGTTTCCTTTTCAACAAGACTGCGTTCAAAATTGAAATTACAGATGAAAAAAAAGTAACAACAAATCAATATCGCAGTTATGCGTATCTGTCCTATGCGTTTAAAGTGTCACAGTGAGTATCCAGAATGCGCCTAATGGTGTGTGTGTGTGTGTGTGTGTGTGTGTGTGTGTGTGTGTGTGTGTGTGTGTGTAAAACGTGCAGCCCAGGTACAATGTGCCTTCGTCCTTTTAGTCAAACATCTGGAGAAGATGACAACTGATTTATTCTTCTGAAATGTTGATTTGCGTATTTCAACTTCTATATTCTTTTCAATGCAATGTGACGGTAGAGAAGTTTAGTGGAACCACACACACACACACACACACACACACACACACACACTTGGTGAAGGTGACAGATTGCGTTTCGTCATACTCTGAAGGCATGCATCGTTTCTCATGCTACGAAGCACTGATTTGCCTGACAAAGAATACTACTTAAAATAATGTCATTCTGGGCCAGGCAAACTATTGATTAAACGATGAACAACGACGTGAACGACGACAAACAACCAGTTAAGTCACAGAGCCAGACTCACCTGAGTTAACCTCGTCGACTCCCATGACAAGCAAACGTAACTGCAGACCAGTTCATAACCGGAATCCCCAGTTTGCACATCGAACAGTTAAACACCATAGGAGCACATAATTATTCTGCATTATCGGCAAGGGAGTTAACAGACTATAACACTGATTGCCTCTGGAATATGTCGATTCGTTAGAAACATATACATGTAATATAATAGCGGCAGGTGTGGCGGGGCATTGAACTATTTTATCCCTGTTCGCTTGTGGAAGTTACATGAATCGTTTATGTTCTACAGATGGTCACGTGATCGTGCAATTCGCTTCCTGACCAACTACAGTGACTTTCCAGACAGTCAGATCCAGTCCGAGGTTGACCGATACATCACGTGGCCAGGCCAAGCCTGCTCCTACAAGGTCGGAGAGATCAAAATAAAGAAATTGAGACAGGAAGCGGAAACGAGGCTCGGTAAGTGTCTGGACTGAACGGAATGTCGCCCACATAAGATAGGCTAGTTTGATATATGCCTGGTAATTTTGGCAAATCAAATCAAGGAAAACAACCCTTGCACCTGCTGTCTGATATTGTCACTCTGCAGACATATTTATACAACATAGATAGGCATCTTTTACGTTGGAAATGTGTTGAGGCTGGTCAAGGACCACTAAAGAGGCTTATACTATTTAGCTGTTTTAGGCGCATATACAATACCTACATGTAACTGGTAGTGTTGACACTGGTGTCCTTTACAGAAAAGAAAATTCATTGTACGGTCATGTGTTACTTTGGATCTTCCAACCTTTGGGTGTCGCTCAATGATTTCCTTTAAGAGTGTTTTGGCACAATCATAACAACCAGGAGGTTTGGCGGGTCACGATGTGTTACCTGACCTGTTTCATCGTATCCAGACGCCTTGTCGGGATCGGTGATGATCCTATCACTCACTGGTTTGTCTACCTTAGAGTCCAACATTTGAGTCATCTGTAATGTTTATATCTTTATTTCTGTCTAGGCCGGAAGTTCAACATCCGGGACTTTCATCATGTGGCCTTGAAGCTCGGGAGCGTCCCCCTTGACATTCTACAGGAGGAAGTTCATGACTGGATAGACTCGGAGCTCCTTGATGAGAAAATAGTCACCATTCCTGTGTTGTCGTCTGCGGTTATGTACACATATAATACTGTCCTCACGATTAGTATAACAATAGTTTTATTGCTTGCAAACAGAAAATATATATGCTATTTATGTTCTGTGCAGTGTACAGTGTTTTGTATCATGGTAGAAATTTTTTGTCTGTTGTAAATCAATTTGTCCGTTGTGTAAGAAGGATGACGTCGTGTTGTCAATATCTGTTGATAAAACCCAACAAACTCACTCACTCATTCTGATTGGCCTTTCGAAACCAAGTTTCCAAAGTCAGGGTACCATAGTGGGATGGATGTGTGAACATTACGCCGCTTTTCGCGTATTCAAACCGTATCACAGAGATTGGTTGTTGGTTGGTTGGTTGGTTTGTTGTTTAACGCCACACTCAGCAATATTCCAGCTATATGACGGCGGTCTGTAAATAATCGAGTCTGGACCAGACAATCCAGTGATCGATATCATGAGCATCGATCCACGCAATTGGGATCGATGACATGCATCAACCAAGTCAGAGGGCCTGACCACGCAATGCCGTTAGTCGCCTTTTACGACAAGAATAGTCGCCTTTTACGGCAAGCATAGGTAGATCTATTCTACCCCGGATCTTCACGGGTCTACTGGCATGTTATAAACTGAGGGCTTGCTTGATATGATGGCACAAATGTTCGGGGACGCAACAAAGAGAACGAGTACCGTACAAATGCTCCTTAACTTTACATCTTTCTGTCAACACATAATGCATGGCCTCCTGTTGGACAATCCTGGTATTTAATGAAAGATGAAGGCGACGATGATTGCAATTATTTGCTTGGATATTTGAATATTTCAGCTTCAAAAATTGTTGCAAATTGCAGTATGGTACAGAAAACTACCAGGATCAATCACCTGGACAACGCAATGATCATTCACTCCACGAAACAGTTTCACAATGATGCATGAAACAATTGAAGCAACAAGGCCCTGTGGTGACCTGACATTAGATTGTAAAGGTCAGTTTAGAGATTGCTAAACATGAATATTCAACTAAGTAACAGACATTTTGTTAAAATAAACATGCATAATATTTTGTCAATGATGCATGCTTCACTGTGCACACATGGATGAAAGTTCAATATATGATCACGATAGTGACAAACATTACTCGTGCACTTTAGAACACGAACATTATTGGAACTAACATAATCCACACGTTTCAAAAGTTATTTTTATTTGCACTTTGACGCATTCCCTCTTGTAATATAATTACTACTGAAAACAAACCATGTGGTTCAATGCTGCGTAATTGTAATATTTACCTGGACAGTGTTTTGGGGTGACTAAATACACCTGATATGATATAAATAAAAAAATTTCAGAGCATATATATTCATGCGAACATTCGAGGAAAATTTGCATTGTTTAGGTAATGTTTGTGAGAGATAAAAAAGGTTTTTCACTGACCGAATTTCTGAATGACATCAGATGATAAAGAGGTTATCACGCATGTGTATTTTGGGATGGTAAATATCCTGTATTAGCCAATGTTCGCGAAATACAATGTTTACTCCCAATACTGGTTGAATACCATCCCTAAACACATGTTGAGTGATAACCTCTGCTCTGCTTGGCAGCCTGCATTCGAACCAATACACAACCACGCAGCATATATCTGCAGGCATCAAAGTGACTGGGTGTTCTCTGTCAATGAAGTATCTCAAGTATCGCCACATGAACTCCAACAGCCGTCCATGCGGACATGGCGTGCACGTTAGGGGATGGTGATGGTGGGCAGCGGAGTTCAAGAGGGGAAGAGAGAGCCTCGAAGATAGTCCATGAACAGGAAGTGAGTGAGTGAGTGAGTGAGTAAGTTTGTTTTACGCCGCTTTTAGCAATATTCCAGCAATATGACGGCGAGGGAAACCAGAAATTGGCTTCACACATTGTACCCATGTCGGGATTCGAACCCTGGTCTTCGGCGTGACGAGCGAACGCTTTAACCACTAGGCTACCCGACCGCCCCCCCCCATGAACAGGAAGACCATCAGCTACTAACATACATTATATGGTTATGGATGGCCACATCCCAAAAGTTTCAACACGCTGTGGGTCAAGGCTTCTGACTCCTGATCAGAAACACTCCAGATTCATTCATTCATTCATTCTCTCTCTCTCTCTCTCTCTCTCTCTCTCTCTCTCTCTCTCTCTCTCTATGCCCAAGGGACTCAACTCTGCACAGCGAATCCCGGCGCCTTAGACGACTGGGCCACCCGTGCCCCCAACGCTATATATGAGACTGGAGAGATTAAGAGTACTGTCTGGCTAAGCCATTGGAAAAAGTATCCCAGAAAGAGACCTGCATGCTTAAAACAGACATAAAGAGAACTACCACCTTGTGCGTGATTTGTTACCAGTTCAACCGTTCAGCAACAGTAAAAAAGCCTTAACTACAACAGTAAAATAGACTGAACTACGTGTGAATTTAATCACCTGTCATCTTCGGCAAGATAAGCATTTCACAACTTGGACATTAATTTACGCTAGTTTGTGAAAATCTGTCAAATAATGTCACAATGTGAAAAATCATAGATCATCTGTTCTGGGGTCCATAGACTGCTTTCACAGGTCTTTCTCCAGAGAAGATATGTCAGCTACGTGTTTCGTGCTTGCCTGTAAGACAGTGGGCTCAAGCAAGGTTACATGAGTTTAAAGGCTGGAAGGATCAGAACTATCGTCCTCAACGGTAGCCTACACAGACACACACACAAGTAGAACTACCCAGTACATTATTTAAGAAACATACGACTAGGGGGAGTTGGTTATCGTACAATAAAACACTCCGCCCTTCGTGGTTTATTCTCCCTGCAGTGTTGTATTGTATAGTAAACAACGAACACGAGTCGTTTATTTCTTATGTGAGATATTCACATTATTTACAACCTCAAAACTACAAACTTACTAAATTTACAGCCTTTAAACATATTTACCCTTATTGAGTAATGATGTCTCCCTGGATACAATCCGATCTCTGCAATGTCGGACAAGTCCATTTTATGTACCGGGGGGTTAAGTTTGTTTTTCCTAAATATTCTCATAATTCTCACGTCGATTATCTGTACCGTTCCTCCCCAAACCGATTGCAATACCTCGCACACTTTTGTAACCAATCGTTTGGCCATTGCGTTAATCCGTGTTGCCTAGCTACATCTAAGGGGAACAACTCATTACCCTCTCAAAAATAACGTTGTCTAATTTACGACGTCATCAAGTTGCGAGCGTATGTTCGAATTTACAGAAATGACGTCTTGATAGAACAATGTTTCATCATGGAGTAAACCACACATAGTTCTTCGTTGTTCTTTGGGATTTATGGCGTAGCTATCTTACTTTTCTGAATATTGACCAGATTGTGTCAGTCAGCAAATTGTTGATTTCAGAGCAGAGTGAACTGTGAAGCATGAAACTTGTTTTTATTCGTAATTTTGCCTACTTGTCATCCCCGACAGGATACGCAGATGAAACATTTCGCAAAACACAAACCCCTAGTTTATGACCACGTGACACTGTTTCGAAAAACCTTTGGACATTTTGTCTGTCTGTCATTTCCTCGACATGTGGATCGTTGCTATTGTTATCAATGACTGGTTTGCATAGATCAGATTGTTTTTATACAGTGATAGTCTTTTAGATATTGATACATTGTAAGACAAACTGGAATGCTGATGGTGAAGATAATTTGCGTTTGTATTAGCAGTGAATACAAATTGTTCTCCAAAATAACACTGAAGTAAATTATTGGGGTTAAGCGTTTCACCCATATTTTATGTACGGAGCAGTGACAATGTTGCATGTCATGTTTTGGGCTGTGAAGTACAATCAGTTGAGATCTGTTTATTATAAAACTGTACACACATAAACTTGTCCACCAGCCTTAGAAAAAAACCGGAGCCTGTATGAGGTACTGAATGTATCGGTTATAGTTTAATGTAAAGGTATATTATGCTACATTCAACCTATGTGTTCGTTCACAGCTTTTATTTGTCAGCTGACAGCATGACCCCACCAAAGTATGAGGAGCCATTTTCTCCAGCGATTAAACTTGGGAAACTTATCTCCACCCACACTTCCTCCCCCTTGTTAAGATGGTTGACAGTTACAGCAGAGGCATCAACGTTACCAACTGTCGAGTGTGTTTCTACCCTCCCGGCTGCCACGTTCACTCCTGACTTCATGATGCGGACGTACATATTACTGTATATACCACTCATTTCCAGCTGTGTCCAGAACATGTAGGTTCCAGAGACTGGTGCAGTGAACTTGCTCGTCTTGTTGTTGTACGCAGAGCCGGCGTTGTAGTCGACATCAAGGAAAGTCAGGGGAGTGCCAGAAGGTGAAAAGATAGGTTGGGATTGCGCTTGGAATGCCACATTTCTGTTGTTCGATGCTAAATGAAAGCAAAGAAATGGTGACTAAATATAAAAAGACAACAACCCATTCTGAATAACATATAAGGTCAGTGTAACAAATGTTATTTTTGGATAAAACTTTCTTAGTAAAGTACTGATTCTTGTACTTTACTAAGAAAGTGTTGTTACATTTGACCACTTTGTAAATGGCAGTGGGTATTTATAAAAGATCAATACAATCTTTATCCAGAAACAAGAGTTAAAAGTGACTTGAGGTAAAATTGGGCTAAAAGTCGCGTTCATTGTTGCATTGTCATAGCGTACAAGATCTCGCGCGCGCGTGTGTGTGAAAGTGTGTGTGTATGTGGGTCTGTATGTGTATGTGTGTGTGAATCTGTGTCTGTATGTCTGCTTGTACTCCTGTAATCGGCTTTGTTATCTGAAAGCACATAATCCAACACAGGCTACAGGTGCGAGTCTTTTTGCCGGTAGAATAGTGTGGCTTATGACAACCTGTAATCAAACAATAACAGCTTAAAACCACAGTGCAGCTGTTTTATACAAATACATGTTCATACAATGCAACTATCCATTGCGTTATACATACGTCTATATTAAGTACACGAACATCTATGGTATAACGAGTATGGTGCTGACAAACCTCGAAACATAATCACCCGTGAAGATACTGGTTAGAATTGATCTTCAGCAGCCCCTGCTTGTCGTAAGAGGCGACTAACGGGATCGGGTGGACAGGCTCGCTGACTTGCTGGATGCATGTCATCGTATCCCAAATGCGCAGATCGATGTTCATGTAATCACTGGGTTTTAATGACCGCTTCAATTTCAATGAAGTATAACCACCTGACCCAAAAATTGTAAATTATGGGATTTAAATTAATTTACGAAAAAGGCAAAGGATAGGTATGGTAAAGTAGGATGAGGAGAAGGTAAATACATGTATGTACTAGTAAGTAAAGAGGATACACTTTTAAAACACATTTTATGTTAAACTATGAAATGAAACACGTGGTTAACAAAGGTACGTAAAAGAACTGTAAATATGTGTTAAGAGTATAGCATATGAGGAGGTAAAATGAAATCATGTATCATAGGGCTGCAACAATACACCTAAGTCACGAAACGATACGTATCTCGATACTTACATCACGATTCGATACGTATCTCGATACGCTACGATACATATTGTGACAAGAGAAGACAAGAGATAAATGAATATAACTTAGTTTATTAAAATGAAAAATTAAATGAAAGTGAATGAATGTTCATGAGTCATAAAATATATACTGTAATGAGTAATTTAACTTAATAAATCATCTGCCATTTCCATGTAATGGCTAGCAAACACAAAAGTAACAGTCCTACATATTTGTGAGTTGTGAGTTAGTAAATACTAAATGTACCAGTGTCCAGTAACTAATGATTTGCCATTTTCATGTATAAAGGCAAAAAACAATTAAAAACAACTATAGCAACAGCCATGTTATGCAACATTTGAAAGGTCTAATCCTAGTGTTAATAAATATGAAAGTTATGTTTATCACATTATTTAAATAATGCATTGACAACTTAATTAAGTTCGTTGTAAATTATAAAAATGTGAGCTAACACATTCATAACGTCCAAATTAAGGACCAAAGAAGCGAAAATCTGACGATTTTGGGCAAATATAAGATTTAAAAAGATCTATACTTATCATTTCTTTATATTTTCATTATTTACGTAAGTGAAAAATTATTTTAAAAAGAATTATGAATAGTATCTGTTTTCACTCATTTCCGGATAACAGCGGCTGTCCGCTCAGTAACATGAAGAGATACCTCCGTTTTCGAAAGCTTCGTATGAATAACACGTTCGTCGAAGAAAGCTTGTTTGTTCATCTACACGCTCGTAACATTGCCTGGAGTCTTTTCGTTGCTATAACATCAGATTTCATTGGATAACAAATTGTTTCTAACGACGCTTTCTTGCCGAAATCTGATACAAGGTTCATGATTGGTCAAATTTGAGCACGTGACTTGAGGCAGGCAATCAAATTACAAATCCTCGTGTACGATGAATTTCAGATTTTTACGAAATATTTTGGTTAAATTGTGTTATTCTGAACGTTTTAAGCAAAATATTTCGCGATCTATATTAAAAATATGGAGCTTCGTGGATGTATCATTTTAGGTTACAAGCTGTGACAAAGATTTTTCATGCATATATTTTGGCATTGAACATCGTGTCCGAGCCGAGAATTAGAGGCGACGAAAGCCGAGATGTCATTTGACTTACATTAAACGCGATCGCATGAAAAGATGGAAATAATTACTTAGCTGTAAGTTTGACCACTTTGAGATATATTTTTGTTGATTTTATTTATCACTTTGTATAACATATTTAAAGATTTGCTTGAAACGTCTTTGTTTTGCTCTTTGACATGTTCGATATGCACCCGTTGCCGAAGTGTGAGTCCGATAATTATATTTTCAATGACATTGCGGGAAATAGTGAATAACTTTTTAATCTATCGATAAAAAATGATAAATTGAAATAGAATACGTATTTCAGACATTGTGAGATGTGATAGATTTAATAAATGAATGGTATGACAGGTAGGTTCTTAAAACTATATACTATTTTGACGTGACTATTTTCAACTTGTTGTGATGTACGGAGTGCCAGCGCGTTTGTCGATTGGAGTTCCATGTTTTCTACCACCTGCTTATGTGTGAGAAGCTGGACCATAGATGACGTATTTTTAATTAAACTATCCGCCTCCCTCTTTACATCATAAACAGTAGAGTTTACCAGACTAAGCTGTTTGTGCAACATCTTGACATCCGACTGAACTGCACTTACCTGTGCTGTGTTAAGTTTGACTTCGTGGCTGATTGAATCCAAGACTGTTAGGTTTACTTGAGTATTAGCATTACTATTACCCCGTTTCATGTCATTCACCTCTGCTTTCAACACAGCGAGGTCATTAGATGACACCCGCAGTTCCGTCTTCAGGGACACCACTTCATCTTTCAGAGAAGAAATCTCAGCAGCTGCCTGTGCCTTGTTGGACTGTAGATCTGATTGTAGTTGCACAGTGGTTGTCTGAAGGCCGGTCACAGTCTGCTCGAGGAGGGTGACGTGGCTTAGAAGGCTTGAAAGGTCTGTACTACCGTCCGGTTTTGTCATAGGCAGAATCAGTCCAGAGAGAGACCCACTCAGTAATATACAGAGAAAGAAAACGGCCACATACATTATGCGTGTATGATGGCTGACGAAGTCACTTTGAAAACTTCTATACGCCTCTCTTCATTTATCTATAGTAGTGGGTCATGTGAACAGTGCATCTGCAACTGTTCGAGATGACATGTAAAACATGATAATCCAATTCATGATTAGATTACCTGGGATCAGGTGACAGCAAGCAATCTAAAGGCCGCAACAAGCGAATGCATCAGTCATGTCTATGACCCCACGAGGAACCGGGAAAGAATGTGTTCCACAGCACCATTCCTGTGTTGTCGTCTGCGGTTATGTACACATATAATACTGTCCTCACGAATAGTATAACAATAGTTTTATTGCTTGCAAACAGATAATATTTATGATATTTATGTTCTGTGCAGTGTACAGTGTTTTGCATCATGGTAGAAAATCTTTGTCTGTTGTAAATAAATTTGTCCGTTGTGTAAGAAGGATGAAGTCGTGTTGTCAATATCTGTTCTATGTGGTTGCATTGGGATAGCCAAGTGGTAACAGTGTTGGTTCGCACGGAAAAGGTTCTATTCCAGTATGGGTGCAATGTGACGAGCCAAGTCTTGGTGTCCCCCGCTATGATACGGGTTGAATACGGGAAAAGCGGCGTAATGTTCACACATCCATCCCACTATGGTACCCAGACTTTGGATATACTTGGAAACAAAGCCTTAGACCTTGCCGCTTTGGTAAAACTCACTGGCCCTGGTATGGTTTAAATGCAGGAGACCAACCACAGGTTTCAAAACACAATAACATTTGCTGGTATGTGACTTACAATTGATTTGGTGACCGCCTCGCCGGGGACACATGTTGTATGTTGAAGCAAGCGTAAAAGTTCTGGTGTCTCCCGCCGAGATATTGCAAAAGGTGGCATTAAATAATATCCATACGTACATATCCACAGCCAGGTTTCCTGTGTACATTTAGCCCAAAACACCCACCCACCAACATTACGTACTTTTCACTGACTAGTGCTCTCAATGGACGTTCATCAGCACAATATTGTGTACAATTGTGTTTAAGCAGGCCTTCACAGATGGTATACCCCGTCACCAAAAGGAGATGGGGTGTTTAATAGGAGATGGCCATCTGGTCAAACAGCTGATTAGCATGACAAATGTATTGTCAAATGTACTTTTCTCATGAACTTGGGAGGATCTTCATAGAACAATATGTACAGTTCATGTTCAAGAGAGTTATGTCCCCTTAATTCTCTTATCACAACTCGCAACTTTCCGTAATTTACAAGGTGTTCTGGACACTTCAGGCTTTCCTTCCAAATCAAGATGACTCGCCGTGATAAATTCTGTATACCGAGTTTGTCTTTTGTTAAATTGAAAATTTTAAGAAGTTGTTAAATTTGATTATGTCTATTTAACCATCTCTCATTCCTGCAACAGTTTGTGAAAAGTAATCTGTGCCGGGTAAGTCTTTTTGTAAAAATAAACTGACGTCCAAAAGAAACTTTACCAGAGTTTGAAATCACTCTTGCTAAAAAAACAACAAAACACACATGCATGAAGTAAAGTGTATTGAGAAGATCAATATATCAACATAATCAACTCTGAAAATGACAGTTTCTTTTGGACGTCAGTTTATATGGGTTCAATGAAGATTGAGGTAAGAAATGAATTTGCAACTACATGACAACTACCATGTTTGAAATGTTATAAATGTGTGCCTAATTTTTTTTAAATTTATTTTTCAAAGATAAGATGTCTGAGATACCCATTGGTTGGTTGGTTGGTTGGTTGGTTGGTTGGTTTGTTGTTTAACA